GGTAAAATACGTATATCATTAATTATCTTCTTAATGAGCGTGGCAAGTCAAAATGTGACAAGTAAAAGTGAATGGAGGGAGTATAATCATCATATCAGAGCTAGCTTTGCGCGCACCTCAATCATGACTAAAATTTTGAACTTGGAACTTCAAGGTAAATATTGAACCTCCTAAACCACTAAGTCAACCTCTAATATTGTATTTAGAAAATTCAAAATAGATATATCACCTTATATATACATATACTATATACAATATTTTTTTGTCGAGGATCCCTAGGTCCGTCAAAATGCCTGAAATTAAACACGATTTTTCAACTTAAACTCGTCTTAATAGGGAGGGACGACTTCTTCTTAGACTAGAATATGTCAAATGGTTAAATCCCATTAATTTCCTTCATCTTAATCCTCTTCACATCACTACTCCTCAAAGTGTGTGAAAAGATAATAATTGAGTCACACGAAAAATTATGTATCTTGGTCATGTCTAATTGAGAACCCATCTTGATTAACCCAGTTATCATTATATATTAATTTGAGATTATTGTACATACGATCTCATAACATTTAATGTTGAATCCGTCTCTGCAAATCACTATCTCCGAAGAGTGAAAGCTCATCGTTGTAGTGATCAGTTTGATAAATACCAAAACATGAATTTAAGAGTGGGGTTGGTTGACATGGTCCTCGAGTGGTCTATTGTCGCACTGAAATAGTAGTATTTAACTTTGATATTTTCTTCTCTTCTTTAAGAGGTATGTACGACTAATTAGTTAGAAGATCAGAAAAGGACTTAAGCCACATTAATTATTCTGACAATTAGGTTTACTCACTTATATTGCTCTCGATCGCCTAATAAGCTAGTGTTTTGGGTTGAACTTTTCTAACAATTGGTATCAGAGAAGGTCGATTACTTGATCAAATCCCACACATAATTTGCTAACTTCCCAAACGTACCCTACACCGTGACATGTAGGCCAATTTTATTTATATATAACAGAGAAGTTATAATCAAATTTTATCAAATAAAAGGTACTGTCATAGGCACAAAAATTTAAAGGCTTAAGAATTACAAATGGAAGCTAGTTTATTCCTACTTTTTCTACTCTCTTTTATACCCAATATTATCTCTACTACAACAAATGTAATCACTACAAATCACAACATCACAGATGGTGAAACTATTGTTTCATCTGGTGGAACCTTTGAGATGGGATTTTTCAGTCTCAGTGGTTCCTCAAATCGATATATCGGGATATGGTACAAGCAAATTCTTCCTATGCAAACAGTTGTATGGGTTGCCAACAGAGAGAAACCACTCACCAATACATCTTCAGTTGTTTTGAAGGTCACCAAGCGGGGAATACTCGCTCTTCTCAATGACAAAAATGAAATGATATGGTCCACCAACACTTCACGATCAGTTCAAAATCCAGTTGCAGTACTTTTAGATTCTGGTAATCTTGTTGTAAAAGATGCAAATGATGACAACACCGATAAATTCCTCTGGCAGAGCTTCAATTTTCCAACCGATACGTTCTTGCCTAATATGAAGCTTGGCAAGAATTTTCAAACTGGCCAAGATGTTTACCTTTCAGCATGGAAGAATGAAAGTGATCCAACTCCAGGGGAAATCAGTCTTCACATTGATCCTACTGGATATCCACAGACTGTCGTCAAACGTGGCACAAGTGTATTAGGTAGTTCAGGACCATGGAATGGTTTACGTTGGAGTGGTGATCGCGTGCCACCACCAAACCAAAGCAGCATTTATAAAATTCAGTATGCTTTCAACAAGGAAGAGGTTTCCTATAGTTATTATTTCATAGACAGTTTGATGTTACCAAGGCTAGTCCTGACTAGCAGTGGTTATGTACAAGGACTCATGTGGGTGAATCAGACCAAGACTTGGCTTTACCTCAGTTTACCTCCTAATACATGTGATATGTATAGTGTATGTGGCGCCTATGGGAGCTGTGACATAGATCATTCCCCTGTTTGTACTTGTTTAGAAAAGTTTGTCGCGAAATATCCACAACAATGGGAAAAGGGAGATTGGTCAAATGGATGTGCTCGGAGGAAACCTTTCGATTGCAACAAGGAACATGTGTTTCTAAAATATTCTGGAATTAAGTTGCCAGATACTAAGTACTCTCAGTACAATACAACCATGACCCTAGATAACTGTAGGCAAGTGTGCTTGAGGAACTGCTCGTGCACAGCTTATTCGAGTCTAGATATAAGGAATGGAGGCAGAGGTTGCTTGTTTTGGTTTGGGGAGTTGATTGACATCAAAAAGATATCTGGAGGGCAGGACATCTACATCAGGATGGCTTCTTCAGAACTAGGTAAGAACTTATGTTTAAGAAATTTTCGCGATGCATGGTGACCATGTAATGCACCTGTCTTGATTTGTTGTGTCTGATAGAAAAAATTGCTTGTAGTATCTGAGGCAGGTACTAAAAGAAAGACGGCAAAGATACTCGCAGTGAGTTTCTCACTATTGATGGCAATGGTTCTGCTAGGCCTTATTCTTCTGCTGTACAAGTGGAAAAAGAACAAACTAAAACTCAAAGAAGAATTTGAGCTTCCACTGTTCCAATTGTCGACAATAACAAGAGCCACAGATAACTTTTCGGTGAACAACAAGATTGGAGAGGGTGGATTTGGACCAGTTTACAAGGTATACACTGAAATTTGTTGGAACAGTAACCAGTTTCTGCTTAGATTAGTGTATCAGACATGATCTTCATTCTACAATATTCGTCTTTGTAAAATCTATGTTCTCTTGATATACTGTTGCCATTTCTAGGGGGTCCTGGAAGAGGGACAAGAAGTGGCTGTGAAGAGACTGTCAAGGACTTCCAAGCAAGGACTTGATGAATTCAAGAACGAAGTTATCTATATTTCCAAGCTTCAGCATCGAAATCTTGTGAGACTTCTTGGTTGCTGCATTCAAGGGGAAGAAAAGATGTTGATCTATGAATACATGTCTAACAAAAGCTTGGACTCATACATATTTGGTTTGGATTTCTCACCTACTACACAAGCTATACTAATATACTTAACTTTGTTATATTAGGCATAACATGTACATCTAGAACTAGGCAAAATTATGTTCACAAAAACAACTAATTCACTAGAAAGCTTATTTTGTAGATCAAACAAAGAGCAAATTACTTGATTGGCCAAAGCGTTTCGACATCATAAATGGAATAGCACGTGGCTTACTGTATCTCCATCAAGATTCTCGACTGCGTATTATCCATAGAGACCTTAAAGCAAGCAATATTTTGCTAGATATGGAAATGAATCCAAAGATATCAGACTTTGGATTGGCTAGAAGTGTTGCTGGGAATGAGATGGGAGCAAACACAAGCCATGTGGTTGGGACACAGTAAGAATCTCTAATATCAAACAAAGTACTTTCATTTAACATCTTGCTTCTTTAATTCGATTGATGTTCTGTTTTTTTTCCTGGCACAGCGCTACATGTCCCCAGAATATGCAGTAGAAGGGACCTTCTCCGTAAAATCTGATGTGTTTAGCTTTGGCGTCTTGATTTTAGAGATTGTGAGTTGCAAGAAAAATAGAAGCTTTTTCAATCAAGATCAAAACCTTAACCTTCTCGGATATGTAGGCACACTTATCTAGTCTTTATTAGGCATACATAACTCATTTTCTTTCTATACAATACATGGAACTTATAATGATCTCTGATCAACTCTCAAACAGGCATGGAAGCTTTACAAGGAAGATAGGTCCTTGGAACTAATTGATGAGCAACTAGCTGGTTCTTGCCATATTTCTCAAGTTTTAAGGTCAATCCAAGTTGGTCTATTATGCGTGCAACAATGTCCTGAAGATAGGCCAAATATGTCTTCTGTCATTATGATGTTGGGTAACAGTCATGGGAGTCGACTGCCAGAAGCTAAAGAACCAGGATTTTTCCCAGAAAGAGAGGTACTTGATGCAGACAAATCAGGATCACAGAATGAACTCACAATCACATCTATATATCCTCGGTAGAGTGAAAAAAAAATGCAACTATTTTGACTTGTGTGGACATGAGTAGTAATTTTAGAAAGGAAGAAAAAACTTAGAACTTTTGATTCTTGGAAAATATGTACTTATGGATGAACTTCTATCCTTCCTTTGAATATAAACTTTAGATATGTTTTCAATAACAACTTTTATAAATGTTACTTAATGTGTTCTCCAGAACTAATTAGCACTTACTCATCTCAAACCAAACATACTTGCACGAGACACAACATAGAATGTCAGAAATAACAGATGAATAACAGAGAAATTAAGGCTGAGGCGAGAAAGACGAATAGATCACTATTTTCGAAGAGTTATTGTTTCTATATTCTTTTGGGATTAAAAGCAATTCTCTATCAGGAACTACAATGTTAGCAATTCATACGGGCATACCTATTGAGTTTATCAACACATGAATTTCAGCCATAAAATTGGCAGAGAGAAAATTAGAATGAATAATAACACACCAGCCTTGGATTTTAGCCGTAAAATGGAAGAAGTTTTTGACAAATTTGAAAGAACAAAAGTGGTCCAAGGGACTTCACCACAACAATAGTACGTAATTTGGCCAAAAGTAAAATCCGGCATACATTTAAGTTACAAAATATTAGTATAAACTTTGATAATGCCTTAAATAGGACTTCTATTACTGTCTATATGTGTACTTGCCTCGAAGTAGACAGAATTTTGGGGCTTACGTGCATACGAAATCCAATGTTGACACTAAATCAATGTGTTTCACACACACTTCTATCACTTAACGATGATTAATCGATGAATATCTTCACTTCATTGTATCAGATAGCCATGGTAAGTTGAATTAGTTTGGTGTAAACACCCAATGCAGAGTACTTACAAGAATGGAATAATGTAAACTCTACTGTGTAGGTGGGCCCTCTAGAATCAACAAAGTTTGTGGCCAGTCTAAAAATGTTTAAAGATGTTGTACAGACAATCTCGAGAAGCATAAGCCATGAATGTCATGAAAAATTATGCAACTTGATTATGTCTCATTGAGCTAATATGAATTTCTCTCATTCAGAAATAGTATTAAAAAAACATTCATTATGGTAACAGAACACCATTAATGGACTAACCTCAGTATCAATCTATTAAGAAATGAATCTATTGCATCTCTTCTTGTGATGCTGTCAAAGATAACCAGAAAAAGAAAAAAAGGCAAAAGGAGAAGAAAAGTGGGAAGGGAAATCTTAGTAGCTCAGTTGGTTGGCTACCTGAACTCTCACCTTGTTGGTGTGGGTTTGTTTCCTCACCTTGTAATCCCCTTCCCCGGCCCCAATTTTAAGAAGAAGAAAAAACTGGACGGTCACTTTCGTCAAGGCTGTCTGCAGAGTAAAATTGGATGGACGACTGTAGATATAACAATGATACACATTCACAGATCAGAGGCAGGCTTCAATTGTTGATGCTGACCATCTACCATGCTCAACTGTCTTCTCAATCTTGCGATATGACCTTGCACCTGCTGCCGAGCTGCTGTAAGTTTTAACAATTCGTCTGCTTCGGAAAAGTTTGTGAACAATTGACTTAGAGGATGATCTTTGGTGTCACCACGTTTCCTTCGATCAACATCTTCTATAGGTACAGGAGGAGGCAAATTTAGGCCAGGAGGTAGTCTAGGCACATTGACTGCTGGATGGTTCTGTACACGGGCAAAAAAAGATTCTGAAGGCTCCGCAAACACAATTTCATCATACGACTCTACTACAACAGGTTTTTTAGTGGATAGAGCCCCAGATTCGTCCTCTGGATATAGTTTCAAATGGTGATATAAGTGTAATGGCTTATCACAAACATCAGTGTGGAAATGAAGGGTCATCACAATTTCAAATTCACCCCATCCAGATTCTGTTAACTCAAAAGGAGGGTTGTCCACAACCCTTGTAGGATTGTTAAAACTTGAGTGCAATTGAAAAACAACACGTTTCACCACCACACCCAGATCCTCATTAGTTGCACCACGAACATAAATAGTCCATTTATGAGACTGGAACTCGCTCGCCTTCTTACCAAGCCAAAATGCAACATTTCCATACACTATTGGAACACCAACTTCAAGCTCTTTCAGCTTCTTACCAGAACTCTTTTTTTCACTGTCATCGGAAGTATTCACCATTTTGGTACGCTGTGATTTTAGGGTGGGTCCGGTAATGTCCGTCGGATCTTGATCGTGCGTCTTTGTTGATGAGCTTTGAGGCATTCTACGGGTATTCTCTGATTGGTCAAAATTAGGATCTCTGATCGACAATCAGAGTAGGAATATTTCACTGTTTGATTTTGATTCTTTCACCATGTTACTGTAAAGAAAATCATGGGAGTAAACAATAAATTAAATGACTGTTATATGTGGAAAGTGATTAGTGTTTAAGAAAAGCTTACCAGTAGATATCTTTTTAGATACCCTATTAGTATAATAAAAAAGGGACTGAGGTATATAAAACTTTAACTCAAGTTATAGAGTTCAAATAATCGTATATATTGGAGTATATACTCTTAAAAAAGGATATTGTACTGCCACATATACTAAGGGTTTTTAAGCTGATAAAAAAGTAAGGAAAAACTGAAGATCTTTCCCTCAAAGAGAACTGTTAGTAAGGAAAAACTGAAGATATTTCCCTCAAAGAGAACTGTTTATGCCATTTGATCCATGTGCAATCCAAAGTTGACTCGGTGCCAAATCACCAGGAGTTTATCCACAATATAATATATAGATTCATGAAAACCCAGTAGCTTTTGTCTAGCCCCTATATATATGTATATATATTAAGAAATCTATTAAATAAAGGTCATAAAAAAAGAACTCTATTAAATTTAATGATGAACTCAGTTATGACTGTATATTAAGTTGAGGTGGTTGTACTTATACGTGGAAACTCATAAACTCAATCTTGAATATGCTCCTGCAAATCACTCTCCCAAGAGAGAAACTCATCACAGTAATGAGCAGTTTGATGACTTCCAAAGCATGAATTTAAGAGTGCGGTTGAACATGGTCCTCGATATATAACTTCAACGGTCCTTGTGTGACCAACTATCACATAGAAATAGTATAAAACCTTTGACAATTTCTTCTCTTCTTTAGGAAGTGCATACAGCTACTTAGTTAGAACACCAGAAAAGGACTTAAAGCACATTTATTAGTCTGACAATTGGGTTTCCTCAATATCTAAATCCTGGCCAAGTTGTCTTAGATATTACTCTATGTGAGACTTGGGGTCACCACGAGATAACTTGGTATCATATGGGAGGGGGTGTTTGTCCTTGATCATTCACACCTAATACAAAGGCTCAGGCATCACAGATGAAAGCTAGTTTCTTCCTACTTTTTCAACTGACTTTCTACTCTTCTGTGCACAAGATTTCTACTACAGCAGATATAATCACTACAAATCACTCCGTCACAAATGGTGAAACTATTGTTTCCTCCGGCATAACCTTTGAAATGGGATTTTTCAGTCCCAGTGGTTACTTAAAGCGATATACTGGGATATGGTAAAAGCAAATTCTTGCTATGCTGACCGTTAAGTCAACAGAGGAAAACCACTCATAAATACATCTTCAAGCTGGGAATACTTGCTCTTCTCAATGACAAGAATGCAATTATATGGTCCACTAACACCTCACGATCAGTCCAAAATCCAGTTGCATTACTTTTAGATTCTGGTAATCTTCCTGCAATGGATGCAAATGATGCCAACCCAGAAAAATTCCTCTAAGCAGAACTTCAATATTCCAACTGATATGTTCTTGTCTAAAATGAAGCACGGCAAGAATTTTCAAACTGGCAAGGAGGTTAACCTTTCAGCATAGAAGAACGACAGTGATTCAACTCCAGGGGAATGCACTCTACACACTGATCCTTCTGGAATCTGGATATCCACAGGCCCTCGTCAAACGTGGCACAAGTGTATTAGGTCGCTCAGGACCATGGAATGGTTTACATTGGTGTGGGGATCACGCGCCATCATCAAGCCAAAGCAGCATTTATAAAATTCAGTTTGTTCTCAATAAGGAGGAGGTTTTCTATAATTTTTATTTCATTAGCAGTTTGGTGTTATCAAGGCTAGTCCTGACAAGCAATGGTTATATGCAAAGCCTCATGTACGTGAATCAGACCAAGAGTTGGCTTTGCCTCAGTTTACCTCCTAATACAACATATAGCTTATGTGGTGCCTATGGGAGCTGTGACATAGATCATTCCCCAGTAAAATCTATGTCCTCTTGATATACTGTTCCATTAACTAGGGAGTCCTGGAACTGGAAGAGGGACAAGAAATGTCCATGAAGAGACTCTCAAGGACTTTCATGCAAGGACTGGATTAATTCAGAATGAAGTTATATCTATATCTCAAAGCTTCAGCCGAGAAATCTTGTGAGACTTCTAGGTTGCTGCATTCAAGGGCTAGAAAAGATGTTGATCTACGAATATGTGCCTAACAAAAGCCTGGACTTATACATACTATTTGTTTGGATTTCTCACCAACTACACAAGCTAAAGCAATGTATTTAACTTTGTTATATTAGTCATAACATGTACATCTGGACCTAGGCAAGGGAAAGTTCACAAAAACAACTGAATCATTAGAAAGGCTTCTTTTGTAGATCAAGCAAAGAGCAAATTACTTGATTGGCCAAAGCATTTCGACATCATAAATGGAATTGGTTGTGGCTTATTGTATCTCCATCAAGTTTCTCGACTATGAATTATCCATAGAGACCTTAAAGCAAGCTATGTTTTGCTAGATATAGAAATAAATCCAAAGATATCAGACTTTGGCGTGGCTAGAATTTTTTCAGGGAATGAGATGGGAGCAAACACAAGCCAGGTGGTTGGGACACAGTAAGAATCTCTAATATCAAACAAATTACCTCTGTATAACATCTCACTTCTATAATGCAATTGGTGTTTTTGTTTATTTTTCTTTTTCTGACATGGTGGCTACATTCCCCAGAATATGCAGTAGACAGGATCTTCCCCATAAAATCAGATGTGTTTAGCTTTGGCATCTTGGTTTTAGAGATTGTGAAGTGCAAGATAAATAGAAGATTTTTCAATCAAAATCAAAGCGCTAACCTTCTCGGACACGTAGCCATTACTAGGCATACATAACTCATTTTATTGCTGTAAATAGCCACATGAGTATTAGTTCTATAAATAAAACTTTTTTTAGAATGAATTTCTATTTCGGTTGTTCTTTGAACATAAACCTTAGATATGTTTCTTAAAAACAAAACTTTAAAACATGTTTGCTTAGTTTGTTCTCTAGAACTAATAGCTATAGGAAAGTTTGTCATGTATTTAGAAACCACAAATCCATATTAATAGTTGAAACTTTTAACTTTGCAACTCCATTCTTAGTTAAAACATATTCGGAAAATGGTACAAAATTGTTAAAAAAATTTAAGCAGCACTTCACTCATCTCAAACCAAATATCAGTCTGCGAGGTAGAGATACGCACACTGTTTCCAATAGACCCTCAGCAACATTTATAACAGAAAATGCTATTTGCGGAACATTAATAAGTAAACCGGAAATTACATTACCTGTTCCTCCTAGAAGTAAATGTTTTTTTCCCTGAAAGTCTGCTGGTTGAGTATTCCATCAATTCATCGCTTCTCCTGAATAGTACCACAACTGCAATTAAACTCATTAACATATCAGATTTCATTGTTTAACTTATAAACCTATCAGCATTACAATGCTCGCACCTCAATAATCAGATCCATAAAAAAAACAGGGGATTAACAACTCGTACCTCAATATTCAGATCTAATTGCAGCAGATATTCAGTTTTCCCCATTCCTCTTCTACAACTCTTGCAGCATCGTTCGTAAAGGACTTGCACGGATGAATGGAGAAGTGGAGGCGGAAAGGGTAAGAAATTATTTTCCAGGAAATTTCAACAGAGGGTATGGTCTGTTTGGGTAAACCTTTAAGAATTTACTTATTTTGGGAAGTGATCTTGTAAAAGTATTTTTATCTAAATTATTGGACAAGTATTTTTGTCAGTACTAAAAAAGTTCATTTGTTTTATAATAATTCTTTTAAAAGTGTTCTAAAACATCAAATTATAGGGGTATCTAAGGCTGGCAAGGGGACGGGGACGGGACGGAGGGGGACGGGACGGGACGGGGGACGGGGCTGGGGGGATTTTGCTGGGACCGGGATTGAGGGGACCGGGATTGGGGGGACAAAAATAAGTCCCATCCCGTCCCACTATATATACGGGA